AATAATAATGATTTATTGATGACCCTTCTACATTTAATAAATAGACCAGACTTAGCTATATTCTGTTCTCTGATAAAACACGACTGGAGCTACAGGACACGTAAAAAGTTATAGAAATCACGAGCCGTATTCGCTTTATATAATAGATTTTTACGAAAAAAATTTCAAAAAAAAGATTTGTTTACAAAAAGAGCGCGTGTCTGTCGTCAAACTCACGTAAACAAATTTTGATCTATGCGATGATTGGCTAAAAACGCGACCTATGGCTATCTGTACAAACACTCAAGAAAACCAGCTTATGAACACTTTGAATGCCAAGGAGCCGAGAGACTGAAAAATATCTTGATCTTCAAAATTGGAAGAAAGCTAGCAGTGCAGTACTTGGAAAACTTGTTTTTTTAGTTGACCCTATACTATAGTAGTGTAGGTAGTATTTTGTAATCGTATATACTCGGGCTATTGGAAAACAAATTACGATAAAAAAATTACCGTAAATTAGCRTAAAATTGACGATGGTAGTTTGTAAAGTAAGCTTCAGTTTCTTACAATAGATTTGTTCATTCTTGTTAGACTATAAAAAAATTCTTAAATTATTTTTTGACTTCTCTAGCACCATCACGGTCAAGCAAAAAGCTTCTAGTTTGGCGAAATAAGGTCAATGTATGGTCGCAGCACAAACGAAAGAAAGCTTTACTCGTCGAAATGTAGTACCAATCAAATGTGCTTCAAAACGACATATTTTCCTTTTTTAGAGAAAAGACATAATTCTTGATGAAAATAAATGAATATTTTAAATTGTGAAAATGCTTTAAATTGAAAAGCCGAATTCCTGTGACGTAATTTCTATGTTTAATTTTGTATAGAAAACATGGTTTTGACGTCATATCTATGTTTCTATACTCTGATAAAACATAGCTTTTCAGCCAATCAGAGTGCGCGTTCGTGAAAATCTATTATATAAAGTACTATTATTCTTAATCTATATGTCAAGTCTATGTTTAATACTTCTAGAGTGCACGCACTAAAACCGTGAACATTAATAGTACTAATTAGTACTATTTCATACATTATAGTACACTCAACAAAATTACTCGACTCTGATTGGTCGAGAGGAGTACAATCATAGCGTTAATTGTACTCCGTAGGAGTACCGAATTAAGTCGCTATGGCAATACGGCCAAAACAATGTCAAAACAATTATTTTCTATCATTTTGTACTTAAAAAGCATAAATAAAATTTTAAAGCCGTAAGAACCAATCCTTTTTATGCATTTCAGTTGCACGATGGACTGGAAATCGGCCGCCAAAAAGACAAAGATGAACGGCGTCGCTTCGCATTTTTTACTGAAATTTTGTTGAGTGAACTATAAACAAAAAATCGCACGATCTTCTCGTACAATTTG